TTGGTTGGAGTTCAAATCTAAAAGCATGGCAAGAATAGCTCCTCCTGAATAAAATAAATTATACTGTGACTGAAAGGTAATTAGGAGGATTGCACATTACGTATAGAGGATTTGGAATGGCTTTGCTTTTTAATATTAAAGGTATTTTATTGGTTCGTCGAAGGGAGATCCAGCTCATTTGTTTGTTTCTTTTTTAATTGAAATGGCTCAGAATGTCTCTGGGGCAGCAGAGATTTTTGCTTAAAGTGAGGATGTGTTCTCTTCATGTCATTGTGAATCACTTGTAGTAAATAGTCTTAAAGAGGGATTAGCACTCCAAAAAGTCTCATAGGAATTTCTATTGACATGTTATCTATATTAATGGTTATGAAATTATGATATTTTTAGCCAGCTGATTGTAATTTGCATAAACATTTAAATTCCTTTGGAATAATGCTTGACACTCATACAGAATTATAAGACAGCCACAGTAATATCTAAAGCAATTGGATTATTTCCAAATATGTGAAGTTCTTGAAGCTAAAAAATTTATTATTTTTCCTTATTGGAGAAATATACAACTGTTATTGATCTTTCTATAAAGAATACATAAAAATAACAATTTTTATTGCATTAGAGAAATTTATAAAATAATGGAGCTTATTTAAATGTATATTTAAGTAAACATACATTTTGTTACATTATTCTTCAAATTTCTTAATTTACTCATCTAGAATTTTAATATAATTATGAATAATAATATCATCTTTGCAGAAAAATGACTAAGTACATACAATATGCTGCTAATTAGACATAGGAAAGTATGAACATTTTAAAAATGACTTATTAAAATGAAGGATTCTGAGCAATCATAAATGAATGAAAGAAAAGTAAAGAGGAAAATTTAAATTACTTTTGATAGTAACATGCTCTGTTGATGAGTAATGGAATGAATTCATTTGGATTTTTTCCTACATATACCCAAAAGATTACATTGTTGGAAGTTCATCAGGAGAATCCAAATATATTATCTGACTTCACATAAAAATAAAAGTATGGTAACCGTTCATATTACTTCAGCCAAAATAATTCACTAAATCCTGGATATTGTCATTATAATCATTGTTCCTAACAAGAAGGGCTCTTAATAAGTAAGAATCAAATGGACACAATTAGGATGGTATTGAAGGAAATTTTTCTTGGCATATTTCATTTTAATGAACATTTCCATTTGCTATATTAAAACTCTTTCAATTGAAAGGGAATTTTTAAATTTAGCTTTATCTGAAACTGAGATAATTTTCAAAATATTTTGGGCCAAAGTGATTTTAAACAGAGATAGTTCAACATTCTCAAAAAAAAAAAAGCAATTTCACAAGGTCTGCAGCAAATTTAATTATTTCTGTGTTTCCCAAACTGGGAAACACATACAAAAATCTTCTGCAGTATTAATAGATGTTGAACATAAGGGATTTGCAAAACAGTGGGCATAAACAGTTTGTCCTGAAAACTCAGCTCCCCTAACATCCATATATAAATTGTCAATATCTGTATTAAATATGAATAGGAACACATTGAAATACAGCCCTGAAATGAGAAGACCAACTAGGCGAAGTAAAACATATGAGCCAAAAGCAGCAGGTGGGAAAGCATAAGGCACTTGTGAAAAACTGTAGGAAAATTCTTGTTCCCGTAGAAAACTCTGGAAGTTGAGGCAAGAGCCAGATTGGGGAGGTCTTGAGTCACAAGCTAAACAGTCCAAATATTTAAAAATCAGTTGTCCATCACTGAGGAACTTGAGGAGGGAAGTGATAGCATCTGTGTGGTACTTTGGCAGGACTAATTTGGATGTAAAAAAAAAAACCTGTAATAGTGTGAATACTGGAGGTAGGGAGTCCAGGTAGACTTCTCCAGTAACGCTTCAGATGCACGATGAAATGAAAATGGTAAAGATGGGAATCCAGTGAAGAATGAGTACAAGACACACTGCTAAAGCAGAAGCAAAGGAGTATGGGTGTGGTTTTGAAGGCATCTAAAGATGTCTTCACAGCAGAGATGGCAGCTTTAATAGCATCCTTTGTTCTATATAGAACATGCTTTGTTACTGTCCTGGGTCTTGGTGTCGGTTTTCTACCATGTGCAACCTATTATTCTTCACCACATGCTAACTTCATTCCTCAAACTTAGCTCATTGTTTCTCTTCCTTTGAAGGTTTGCACGCTCTCTTTTAAGTGTTCTAAGCAAAAAACTCTACAATACTTACAGCTCTATTGACTTGACATTCTCTGGAAGTAAGTCACTTTGTGAAGGTTAGGATCAAATCCATCCATTTCCACAACTAACAGAGTAGAAAACACAGAAACGTGGTCCCTGTTTGACAAAGGACCATGCCCAAGAAAGTCAGAGTATCAGCTACAGATAAACAGAAGTAGATGTGTAGATGAAGTAAGATTCAAAAATGTTGCTTTATTATCATGCTGGGAAGCCAGTGGATATGAAATTAAGGAAAGTAATAAAAAAGGGCATTGATTAAGCATGGTGGGGATCTTCCCCAAATCTAACAAGATTTCTATTGCTCTCATATTCCCTCAACTGAACTTCTGTTTCTCCTAGGAAGAATCCCATCTTTGGCCCTCGGTTTCAACATGTATTGTTATATATGTGAAAATAAAATGGAAAACACAGATCAAGATCAAATGTCATTATTCCATGCTACTTTCTTTCATCTTGTGTTTTCCTGAATCCCTAGAGTATTTTTTTTCTTTTCCTAATGTGTACCCTGCACAAAAGATTGCCTGCACAAAATACCTCTAGGGAGTAACATTTATGAAAATTTCATCTTATAAACATTTTTACCTAATAAGTTAAGGCACTATAGAATTAGGAACATCATTTTCAACTGTAAGTGAGATAGTTTACTTTAACAAATGATCATCAATGGTTAGAAAACCATGCATAAAAAATACTGATGAGTACCTAATGAAGACCTTATCAACTGAATGGTATATCAGCACACTGAGTAACCTTAACATTAAATGAAGCCAGACAACCATATATTATATACCTTATTATGGTAAGACACAGTCCTCTTTCTAAGATACTTTTGCCTAGAAAAGAAACAGAAATCTAAATTTGGCCATATCTCTGTCCATAGTCACCAGCTTGAAGGGCACATAGAAGACCATGGGAAGCGTAAAAGAATGTGGGAAGATATGTAAAATCGAGTGTCGGGATCAGATTTCAAGGAGTAAAATTTTAAATTGGGAAGTCTTATAAATGAAAATGTGTTAAAAGAATTTTAAAGACATGTCAGCATGTCAAAAGTTCAGATTTGGAGATACTGAGTTCAAGGAATATGAATTTATAAGTCATTTATGAGGCAATTATGGAAACATACTCATTGATATTCAGAAATTAGTATTAAGTTTTAAGTGTGATAATAGTTATGTTTTTAGGCATCATTATATATATAATGAAATGCTTTGAGATGAAATGTGACGTGTGGAATTTGCTTCAAAATAAATTATCATTGGTGAAGACAGGATTGTATGGTAGTGACATAATGAAATGAGACTATTATAGATGGTAATAAACAAATAATTCTTTTTTATATGCTTGAAATTGTTCTTTTTTTATCACTTTAAATATAAATTACTGAGCCATAACTCTGAATTATTGAATGAGAATATCTGAGTAATTTTTAGGAATTTGTATGACCAGCATCTTCCAAGATAATTATTTCTCATAACAAGATTTGGCGATTACAGTCCTAAAATGATTTACCCATTGATCTTGCCCTGTCACAGAAATGCATCAAAATACACACACATTCTTCTTCTTAAGGATAGAAGCTATGTCTTCAGCAGCTATGTGTGTTCAAGACCACACATTCAGTATGTGCTTTATAAATATAAATGATGTTAGATGAAATATTTTTGTTCACTATGAATAAATATTTTAGATCCAGAGTATAAAGATTTACCCACAGATTCCAACATGTCAGGTCCATTTAGATTAGAAGTATGTACCTTCTCATGATTCTGAGCAATAATCTGGCCTCACAGCATTTCTTTATTCGTTGACAGTATTTAACACTCCTAATGCCTGCGTTGTCAGTGTCTCCATACCTCAAACAGCAAGGATAAAATCTAACAGGATGTGAAAATTGAGGTCCATTTTTAGAAACAAAAAGTAGTATTAGCAGCCATCTATGGACTATCCACAATGATGACATGCATACATACAGTAATACCTTAGTTCACAAACACTTCTGTTCATGCACAATTCACAAACAGGTGTTTGGGAAAATTCCACTCCTTTTGCAAATTCTTCCTCTAATGATGAACACAGCAGTGGCTGTATTCCTCAGAATAATCAAATAAATTAAGTTCATGAATTGAGGTACCACTGTATATGAATCAAATTTTTTAAAAAAATAACTAAAATGTTTCCCTGCCTTTACCACTTAATTTTATTTGTTTGAATTTTTATTTGTTTCAAATATTTCATTTACTAAGTAAAATTGTCATTCTTTTCAAGAGGATATTATTACCGAAATGTAACTGTTTATTAAGAATTTTTTACCAAAAGTATTTTCTATACCTTGGGATGCTTGAGAAAATAAAAATGTTTATAATAGAGTCTACCCTACATCTGGCTCGTGTTTCTAGCTTTACCACTACCTTGTTTGGTGATACTGAATATGACCATATTTTACTGATTCTTGGTTTCCATATATATATATATATATATATATATATATATATATATATATATACATTTTACAATAAATAAGTCATTCTATGCTGATTGTTTTTAAGTTTTCCTCTAGTTTTATGGTATGTCTAGAGGAAAAAGGCTTCATCTAATATTTCAACAGAAAAAAATACTTTTTATGAGAAAAGGACATAAAACAAACCCACTTCAAAGTCTTACATGACTATAAATAAGGTCAACGTCATACAGTTCTGTTCAGAGACTATAAATACAGGAATTGGAAGAATTTTCACACTTTGCCTTACCTGCTTATGAGCATGATCATAAGAATTAATATGATTGTCAAACTCCTGGTGTTTGTGATACTGCTTGTCACATAATTCACAGTAAAAGTTTGCCTTTACATCTTCCAGGGCCTTTGCTGTGGACTTCTCCTTTTCTGCAAAGTCCTTTTTTTAAAAAAAGAAAAAAGACATTGGTTACATTTCTCTCCGATAGTATAATCCATTCTCATATTAATAAAGTTGGTTTGTAATTTTACAAGGACTAAAAGAATAGGTTGAGTTTCATTATTTTCTGTAAATTCATTGGTGTTGTGGAAGTAACTTACACTTTATCATCATCCCTTACTTTCCAGTGAACTAACAGTTTTAGCATATTAGCCCACTGGTTACTCTTATATCCTAGGCATTACTCATCCTTCCTCCTGCATTCCATTTTGAAATTATGATTCTGCTTCCTAGTATCCAACCCTTTCTCTGGACTTTCCTACTTCAACTCCTTCATGCTTCCTTACTACTTAATAATTTCCTCTAATATCACTTGTCCAGTTTTTGTGTTTCACACAACTCTATCTTAATTTGCCAGTTAGTCCATTCCATTTCTCTCCAGGGATGACCTCTTCACCTGATGGTTATAACCTGATGTGTCTATAATGTTCAGCTCCAGCTGAATCTCCCTCCACATCCATCAGCTCCTACATATTATTATTGGGATCATTTCATGTTCTTCGCAGCCATTATCCTTAAAATTGTAGAATGCTACATCTCAGTTTTGGCCATGTTACTCACCTACACAAAAAACTTTTCCATTTTCTCATTACCCATAAAATAATAATGAAAAATATTTACTTGGCAAACTATGTGTCAGGTATGTGAATTACCTCTTTTATTCCTCAAAACAAATCTAAGAGTTAGGCTCTATTTCTATCTGCATTTTACTGATGAATCAAATAATGTTTGGGAAGACCATATATGGTCACAAAGGTAGTAAATGGAACAGAGATTTGAATCAGACAATCAAGGCCCAGATCCTTTATTGGGGGACAGCTACAATCTACCATCTCTTTTTAAACCAACTTGCTTAACAAGTCATAAAACTTCCTACTCTGCCATCATCATCTTTTACCAAATTCTGCTTGAATATTGTTCATTTTAATTTTATCTCCAGATACACTGTTTTTTATGCTTGCAGCTTTCAAAGTATTTAAGAAAAGGAAGTATTTTTGCCCCACAATGCTAAATAATGTATTGTCTTGCCCCAAGTAAATACATATTTAATATATATTATAGAACCTAATAGATAATAGCAGCTTACAGATTCATACTTTCTACAAGTCTGTATTTCTTTCCTATTATCACAATGCCAAGTAAAGACTTATGGATGGCACATAGATAATACCATATACATATGCTCAAAGAATGGGTGAAAAGTTAAAGGATAGATGTTAGGTGTCTCTCTAACATGGAAGAGCTCTCGAGTTCAATAAAGCAGACCACCAAACCTACATGATAGATTCATCAGAGGCCACCATAAATATGACCACCAGGAATTTAGGTAGGTTTTCTCAAGGTAGGTGGAGTGACAGGACAATTAATTCATACATGAAAGCATAATGATACAAGCCCAAATACAAAAGAGGAAAATAAATGTCAGCAAGCAAGAAGGATTAAAATACTACTAAAAAGATGCAAAATTCACCACCACCACTATTCAATAGTTCTGGAAACATTAGCCAGGCCAATTAGACATGAGAAAGAAATAAAAGGAAAAGGATAGGAAAGGAAGAAGTTATCTTATCATTATTTACAGATCACAAGATACTCCACATTAAAGGCTCCAACAGTTCCACCAAAAGTCTTCTAGATTTAATAACAAAATGCAGTAGCACTGCAGGATATAAAGGCAATACTTGAACATCAATACCATTCTTGTACACAAACAACAAACACACTGAGAGAGAAATTAGGAAACCACACCTTTCACAATAGCATTCAAAAAAAAAAATGAAATACCCAGAAAAATTTTCTAATGAAGGAACTAAAAAGACTTTTACATTGAGAACTGAACACTCTGAAATAGGAGATAAAAACAGATACCTAAAAATGGAAAATATCTCTTGTTCTTGTGTAGGAAAGCTAATATAGTAAAATAGTCACACTTTCAAAATTGGTACACAGATTTAATGCAATCCTAATAAAAATACCAAGAGAATATCTCATAGAATTAGAGAAAACAACCCTAAAATTTATTTGAAACCAGAAGAGACCTAGAGTAGCAAAAGAAAGACTGGCTATCAATAGTACTGGCAGGAAAACAGACATGATGATCAGTGGAACATATTAGAAGATGCTGAAGCAGCTCCAAACACATTCAGTCACCTTATCTTTCACTGGAAGAAAGATAGTCTCTTTGATAAATGGTGCTGGGAAAACTGACTTTTCATATACCAAACCGTAAGACTAGGCTCACATCTTTTACCATTTACTAAACTAAAATAGAATAGATCAAAGATCTAAATATTAAAACGAAAATACTAACTCTGATGGAAGATGGAACAGATGGAAGATATTGGCATAGACATAGACTTTATGGACAAAACCTTGACATCACAGAAACTATCACAAAGAATCAAAAATTGGGATCTCAAAAAGCTTTTGAAAAGCAAGAGATACCACCAATGGTGTATAGAAACAAAACATATTGTAGGAAAAAAAATCTAGCTGTTCCTCAGAAAAAGGACTAGTGTCTACAATATATAAGGAACTAAAAAGAAATCAGTCCAAATTTGAAGACCCAATCCAAAAATAGACATCTGAAGAGAATAGACATATCTCAAATGAAGACATAAAAATCACAAATAAATATATGAAAAAGATTCAACATTAATGGCAATTTGAAAGTTACAAATTAAAACAATGCTGAGACTGTACCTCTCCCCAGAAAGAATGGCTGATATCAAGAAGTCACCTGTAACAAAAGTTGGCGACACTGTGGGGAAAAAGGAACCCTTCTGCACAGTTGGTGGGAGTGTTGACTGGTGCAAACACGGTGGAAATCAGTATGGAAATTGTTCAAAAAACTGAAACTAACAGTTCCATTTGACGCCACTGTTCTCCTTCTTGGTATCTTCCAAATGAATTAAAAACACCACAACAGCAATAGGCACGCATCCATGTTTACAGTGGCACAATTTGCAATGACTAAATCTGGCTGACAGCCCAAATGCCCATCAGTGATGAATGGGTGAAGAACACATGTTAAAACATGTATGTATATAGTGGGGTAATACTTTGTCATAAAAAGGATAAACTTGAGACATTTCCACCTAAATGGGTGCACATTGAGACCATATTCTTAAGTGAAATAAATCAAACACATATGTAAATATCACATGATTTCTCTAGTGTGAGGTATCAAAAGTGTGAGTAAGGACCAAAATATGTAATATATATTGGGAAATGGAAAGAAAACATTCAAATGGGAAGGGGAATCAAGGTGGGGTAGGGGTAAAGGAAAGAAGGAGCAAAGAAAAAGAGAATACAAGGAAAATCTGGAAACAAAGGTTTCATAAATAACGAAGGAAGAGATAAAGAGAGGGCAGGGGAATGGGAAAAAGAGGACTCAAGATGTATCATATACAGGTACGAGCTCCCGGTGATGAATGTTATCATTATGTATATCTAAAATGTGTCAATAATTTTAAAACCCACAAAAATGTGTTTTCATTGGATTTTTAAAACAAGTTGTGTTGTTCTGAATTCAAAACGGTCAAAGGATTTATAATGAAAATAAGGCCATAACCACATTTGTCCTCTAATAAAAAAACAAAATAGACCAAATATCTGGATTTCCTAAGAGAATGTAAGTAAGCATTTGGATAATGCAGGTTACAAGAGCGACTGGACAGGGTGCATGCGGTAATGTGAGTGCAGGCTGATTCCAGCACAAAACCCCATGGCTGAAGGATCTGAGATGATGCCAGCCGAGGCGGTCACTTCTGAGAAATGACACAGCAGGGTGGCAGTGAAGGAGGATAGCATGGTGTTAGGCAAATCACCACTTCTCATCTAGTCTTTTCCACTAGTTCGTTCCCCCTTTTCCTTTCTTAGTATAAGTTCAGGAATCAGAGTAGAACTAGGAATCACACTGATTTAATCGTGGTTTCTCTTATTATGACACTGGAGTAATAGTGGTAGAAGACATTTGGTTAATTCTGCCATTGCAAAAAAGTACTTCAGTCTCATGAAGGAGGGGAAGAAATAACCGAGAATTCCAGGTTTTTCTGTGTATAGATTATATGCAGGCTTATACTATCATAAACAACCAAGAATGAGAATTCTCTAGTTATTCTTAGAACCTTCATGTGAACACATTTCCAAAACAACCTTGAGTTATCATACTACAGGAGTTTCATTTCAAAATTTTACAATATTAATAATTTATTAATATTTAATTTATTTGGTACTTTTTGTGAATACATTTCATAAGGTCATAAGACTAAATTACGCATCACATATTTGTATGCATATAGAGCACTGGAGTTTGAACACAGGGCTTTTACACGAAGCTACATCCCCAGTCCTTTTTAATATTGGATTTTACTGAGTGACAGCCATTGTTAAAGTCCTATCATCTTGTTTTGAAACTCTGTATCATCATTTTTTGTTGTTGTTGGCATCATTTTGCTTTCGCTATTTTTTAATTGTTTATTTGCTTCTTGATTTTCCTAGTTTTTCTGTTTAAAATAAAAAGGGGAAGAAAAGAGACATCACAATAGAGAACATCTCCCATTCTCATAGTTTTTGTTTAGTAGTAATCTCACAGTTCTTTGTATTATAGTAACCCTCACCTTACTGTGTTAGAATTTAGGTTTTAATTACTCTTATTCATTAAACAATCTTTCCATAAAAATAAAAAACATTGAATTATACTATCTTGTAATACTCTTTCTTCAGCCTCCAGAGTGCTGGGATTATTGGAATGCACCATTGTGTCGCATTTTACAGTCATATCAACATTTCTTGTTTCATTTTTCTTGCCAGCAAATGGTGCATCATTTCCCATCTGCCTTCCCTCTGTGGTACTAATGACATCCGCTAAGGCATACCCTGGTCTCATTACTAGGAGAGGAAAGGTGGATAGGTGTAATATAAATGCCCCCAGCAAA